ACCCTAGTGAGGATTAAGCGGTGTATGGATAATGGATGGATGGATATTTAAGTGACATTTTGCACATATATTGAAATATTGCGCATGAATTTAAAATATTGCTTGTAAAATCGAACTTACATTTTTAATTTTATTTTATGTATATTGAAATATTCCACATGATAATGGTGAACTGTATATGATTTTTAAAATATATTGCACAGGAATTCTATAAATTGCACATGGAAATAAAATACCTAGATAATAAAAGTAACTTATGTAAGAAACTAAATAAAATGTGCTACATATGCACTTATAGTCGAATCATGAAAGCATACAAACTAAAATAGAAATGCAAAGTGGCAGCTTAATGTGTAAATCTGCCCTGGCTTTATCTCTGGTTGGCTCCCAAAGCAGCAGAAAAACTGCTGGACTGGATCCACTGCACTGCATGGAAACAGATGTCACCTTGTAAAATGAGTAAAGAAAATATCACTAACTCTAGAAGATGAGACAAATGAACTATTTTTTCTTTTGTTGGGTGCCAAGTTGAGGAGACAAATGAAGTGCGAAGCTACAACACAAATCACGACAGTGTTAAATTTACAGAACATGTCAGCTCTGATTGCAGCAGTGTTCGGCCTCTCATCCCTCACCTCAAACTCTATATGCTTTAATCTGCGTTTTGGATACGTCGCCCTCTTGTCTTTGTCCACGCCAACACACCAGGCTGTCCACACAGCAACACGCTGCCAGTGTAGTATTTTGTCTGACTCGGACTGAGCTGAAGAGATTCCCCTGACGATTCTTTGCCCGTTGGCTAATGTTCACTGTGCAGATGGGCACGTTTGGGCCTGGCTGCCTGAAGAGGTGCGACTGTGTTCATGCAGACGGCTGCCAAGCTGCCACCGGGGAGTGCCACTGTCTGCCAGGCTGGTGGGGTAAGTGATGACGTCCTGCTGCTGTCGCTGCAAGCTTGGCTTTGGTATCATAGATAAGTCTGGTCCAGCAGGACAGAGGGAGCTACAGGTTTTAAACCATCCTCCCTCTTTTAATGTCGCTGCACTATGGTGTGATTCAAAGAACCACCTGTGAGTTTGTGTATTTTTGCCTGTTAACTTTACATTACTGACACTTTACATAACTGTCCATGCTGGTGGGCCACACTAAAACAACACTAATGATGCCCAGTGAATAAATCCTACAGACCTCTGTGATCCCCTTTATTTGCCTCCAGCACCACTATGAAGTTGACATTTTAGGTTCTTAGTGATTTATTTCTCAAAGTTCCCATCTGGTTGTATCAAAACGTTGCATGTACATTTCGTATTGACACAAAAAGTTGGATATTTGTGCAGTAACAAAGATAATTTCTCCCATCTTCCTGCCAGTATACGGTTATAGCAACATCATCTACACTTATTTAAAAGATGTTGGTTTCTATTTATTTCCAAGACATTTTGACATTTTCTGAACTTTAGAGATCCAGTTTTACCTGCAGAGCAATTTAAAGCTAGACTCTTTTTTTTTACATTCTTTTTCACTGTAATCTTATTTTATCGTCATTGAGTTGGTTATGTTAAAATCTAAGCCACTCAAATTATACTTCACTTTAAATTTTGACTTTTAGGATCATACCCAATTATTGTTCATCTTTCATCTTTAGTTTAGTTTGGAGTCCTCTGTACCACGATGTACATTAGGTGTAAATAAAGGTTTGAAGAAGTTTTTGTTTTTGACAACTTTTACTTTTGATAGTTTAACACATTCTGCTGCTTGTTTACTTTAACTGTAGTAACTGGATGAATGCAGGTTTTTAAAGTACGCAAAAGATTCACTAGTGAAGGTTTAACGTTTGCTTCGGTCCAGGTCCGCGCTGCAGTGACCCATGTTCGGACGGCCTGTGGGGGCGTCATTGTAACCAGACCTGCTTCAAGCACTGCCCCAACAGCGACACGTGTTTGAGGGAAACTGGAGCTTGTGTTTGTCGTTCGGGATTCTGGGGAATCACCTGTCAAAACAGTGAGTGACCAGTTGAAAGAAAGCAACTCCGTGAAACCACAGATGGCTTTAATGTGTCATATCGTCATATCTTTCCCTTCCCAGAATGCAGAGCGGGTATGTACGGCGACCAGTGCAGCTCCTCCTGCGCCTCCTGCGGTCAGTCATACCGCTGCCACCATGTGACAGGAGAGTGCGACTGCCTGCCCGGATACACTGGACCCAACTGTGACCAAGGTTCCTATCAAGAATCATCACTGAGCTTCTATTTAATGTCCAAAAAAAAAACAACAACAAAGCTCTTGCAGCTGATTTCACTGGTTTCTGTGTGCCTTTGCAGTTTGTCCTGATGGCTACTACGGCAAACAGTGTTCTGAAGTGTGCGTCAAATGTGCCAACAACTCCACATGCAACCATCGAGACGGCCACTGTGAATGTTTGCCCGGCTGGACAGCCACCGACTGCTCCATATGTGAGTGATTTCAGTGATCTGTAAATTTCAGATTACAGTTATGTTAATCATCAATAAAGCTGCAGATTATTTTCTCACTTGATTGATTTATAATTTACTCTAAAGTGAAAATAGCAAACAAAATAGATGGATAAAATTGAACATTTTATCTTTGCCAATAAGGATTATGATAATGTTTTGCAATTCATTTTGGCCAATTATTGACAAATGCACATTTTTTTCAACCTAACTGCTGAGAACAGCATGTCCCATATTATTGTACCAATGTTTATTATGAAAGTAGGTGAAGACATAGAAAACAAAGCTTTTAAAGTGCTCAGACTCACTGAATAAATGAAGAAACTGACTTCAACTTGCATGCCCAATGTGCTATCTTTATTTTTATGTAACACTGTCAAACTAAACTTAAGCTTGTCTCTCTGTCAGTGTACACTTTAAACATTTTACAAATGGAAATTTACTCTATTACAATGTTTGGGGGAAAAAAGTATTTTTTTCTATTAAATTACTGGTAATAATTACTGGAATCATAGAAAATGTATGAATTTGTAGATTAACTGTAAAAGCAGGAACAAAACAGGCCAAAACTGTAATAAATGTCCACATTTCTGTTTCTTATTCTGTTAAAAGATGGAAATGCATTATTTTCTGAAATTTGACTGTAAAATGACAGTTTTTGCAGTAATTAAATTAGCAAAAATATAATTATTTTACAGATATTGCTGATATTTTTTAATTTATATTTTACAGATATTCTCTGTTTTGGTCAATAACAGATAATAAGTTAAACCAAAGAAAGAAATATTAATTTCCTTGTTGTGTTTTTAAAAATAAACAAACAAAAAACTTCCCAAAAATCTATACAATGTCCAAATATTAATCTGTTCTTTCACAACAGGTGATTTTTATGTAAATTGTTCTAACTAAGGGCTGCAGGGTGGCACAGTTGGTTAGCACTGTTGCCTTGCAGCAAGAAGGTTGCCGGTTCGCGTCCCGGTGGGGGCACCGGAATCTTTCTGCGTGGAGTTTGCATGTTCTCCCCGTGCAGCGTGGGTTCTCTCCGGGTTCTCCGGCTTCCTCCCACAAGGTCCAAAAACATGTTGAGGTTAATTGGTGATTCTAAATTGTCCGTAGGTGTGAATACGAGTGTGCTTGGTTGTCTGTCTCTAAGTGTAGCCCTGTGATAGACTGGCGACCTGTCCAGGGTGTCCCCTGCCTTCGCCCTAAGTCGGCTGGGATAGGCTCCAGCCCCCCCGCGACCCTCGTGAGGATTAAGCGGTGTATAGATGATGGATGGATGTTCTAACTAAACTGTAAACATTGAGCCTGACAGTGATCTTCCTGTCAGTGCTCATTCTGGGCCGATGCTAATATTTTGCTGCATTTTAAAGCAATTATTGGCTGACAGTGTGATGAAATGATGAAACCTGTTCATGTTCATGGAACCATCTTATACAACAAAGACCAGCAGTCAAACCGACTGTGGAGAATTGAAATCAGTGTTTTTAAAAAGTCACTTAATTCTAAACAGATTATTGAAATTGTTAAATGATTGTAAAAATCAGCTAAATGCATCAACTCTAGAGTCTAATATGTACCTACAGCTTGAACAAAAATTAATTTATACAGATGAAGTTCAATAGATTCGTAAGACACAAGTTCCAGCTCCACTAGTCGTCACAATTTTGCTGGAGTATGAGCCCACAGGTAGAGCATTATTATGTTTCTATCGTAGTTCAAAGAGCCCATATGCTTCATATTTACTGGTTCATAATTAAATTTTTTGGGTCTAAAACTGTATTTTTACATGTTTTAATGTTAAAAAACCACAGTATGTTTTCTTATGCTCTATGTTGCTGCAGCACGTCTGAGAGAATAGAATAACTACCTTTAACTAAAACGTCTACAGACCTTTTACATGCACAAACAGCAATTCAGCTATGTAACACCGTGAATGACAGGGAGAAACACAAAAAGCATCCGGCAGGCAATACAGAGTCCTTCAGACTAAAACCACCGGACACAAAAACAGTTTTTATCCCACTGCCATAACCGCACTGAACAGCTGAGCCACTCCAAGCCACAACTGCTATATGCACTTCTATTTTGCACTAATGTACATATACCTTTTCTACTGGATGTGTAAATTCTTGTATATATTTGTCTAATTACCTTGTTTTATTTTTTATTAATATTTATTGTATTTTATTCTTTTCTTTCTGTAGTTATTTTGCTTTGTTTTATTTTATTTTTTAAATTTTCCTATTTCTATTATTCGTGCAAATTCCTAGGGCGACACCAACAGCTGAAACCAAATTCCTTGTATGTTGTGTACTTACTTGACCATGAAAGCTAATTCTGATTCTGATTCTGATTCTGATAATATGGGCTCTTTAATACTTCGCTGCACTGATGTGACACATATGCTGTGTTTTCCAGCCTGCGGTCCAGGACGCTTCGGCCCGTTCTGTGCTCAGACCTGCTCGTGTCAGACCAACGTCCTCTGTGACCGATTCACTGGAGACTGTTTGTGTGAAAGTGGAGGAGACGACTGCAAGCAAGGTAAATAAAGATGGGAGATACAACACTGACTTTTACTCACTTCTCTCTGCAACCTCCCTCCAGTCTTGTCTTCACTGTAAAAACAAACAAAAAAAAGATTGTTCAACAGTTTTGAAATGTTTGAGCAAATTATTGCTACTTGTACAGATTTGCCGTGTTTTGTTATATTACAGATAATACCTATTAGAATCACAGGGGAAAAGTAATAATTTACATATTACTTTGAAAAAAAAACAAAAAACAAAAACAGGCCAAAACTGTAAATATTCTCTACATAAAAAAAATCTGTATTTTTGGAAAAAGAAAATTGTTCTTTTACAAAGTTTGGCTGTAAAATTACATTATTTGTTATTTTTACTGTATTTAAATTTATGAAAAATATCATTTTACAGATATTCATTGTTATTTTAAATAAAAGATTATGCATATTAATTATATATTTTACAGATGTTCCCTGTTTTGTTGAGATACACATAATATCACATAAATAAAATAATAATTTACACACTCACCATTAAAAAACAGACCAAAACTAAAAATAATGTCCACATTTTAAATCAGTATTTTTACAAGTAGAAATTTGTTCTTTTACAGTCTTTGACCATTACACAATTTTTACTGTATTTTAAGCAGCATAACATATTATTGTTGATTTTTTATGTTTTTTTGAAAGACAGAATATGTATGTTGAGAACTGAATAACGGTAAGTGTTTTTTTAACTGTTATTTTACCGTTTTTCCCAGCTTTGCTACATAACAGATACTATCTGGTAAAATCACAGGAATGCATTAATTTACACAAAACAAGTAGCAGAAAACCTTAAATAATTTAAATTAAATTTTTAAAATTAACAGATATCCTCTGTTTTGTTAAGTAACATAATATCTACATGTTGGCTATGTAAAAATACGGATTTTTGATGTGGACATTATAGACAGTTTAGTCCAGGTTTATTTTACTTTTTAGAAATTAGTTTTTTTCCACAATGTGTAACCGTACAATCAGTATTTTAATCTTCTAAAAATATTATTTTACAGATATTTGTCATTATTTTCACAGTTTTTACATTTTTTAAATGTATTCCATAATTTTTATTTTTTCATATACAGATTTTCTTTGGCCCCCCTGCTGTCAGATTTTTACCATTTTAAAACAAGATTTCTTTGACACCTGCTGTGATTGAAATCGGTCTTTTTCGTGATGAAACCTGCCTTGATGTCCATTCAAGCTGTTCCAGTTTCTGTTCATGAGTTCTACTTCCACCTCCTGCTTGTCAGACTCGGCGGAGCAGACGGGGAGCGTCATGGTTCCTCTTCCCCCCGGGGAAAGGGAGTCGTGGGGGGCCATTGGCGGCATCGTTGTGCTGGTCATCCTGGTGGTGCTGCTGCTGGCTCTGCTGCTGCTCTACCGCCGCCGGCAGAAGGACAAGCAGAACAACACGCCCACCGTCTCCTTCTCCACCAGCCGCACAGTCAACTCTGAATACGCCGTTCCAGGTACAGTGATCTTCAGGTTGTATTATGTGTGGCTATAGGACATTGAACTGCTCTGCTGCTCAGCTTTGATGCTGTTCTGGTCTTTATTTTACTTGTTTGTACCACAACTGGCAACACACTGTGTGTCTCTGGCTTAAAGCTACAGCTGAAGATTGTTCACTTCCCGCCAGAGCTTAGCCTCACAGCAAGATGCCCCCTACAGGCACTGAGGTGAAAAGCAGGGTTTGAAGGGAGGAAGTAAGCTTTTACTTCTGTTAAAGTACAAATACAGAAAAGTAAAAGTACTCTCTTAATAGTAAGAATCCTGCATTAATAATAAGCGCACACAACCGCAAAATGTAGTCAAAGTATTGCAGTAAAAGTCCTGGTTTGGTCCCTGTGACTGACATTTTATTAGATTAGATTAACAGTGAAGCTTCAGTGCATCAGAAGCATGTTACTGCTGCAGCTGCTGCAGGTTTGAACGACTTTATATCCAGTTTTATACACAGGCACAGCAGATAAATCTGAGACGAAAGAAGAAAAAGCACAGTCTGATCCACAAATCTGTTCTTGTTTTTTCTCTTATCTTTGATATTTTTTTGCCCAGATATTGGATCATTTTGTTGAAATGAAACCATGTGAGAAGTTTAGAGGGAAAGATCACTATTTGATGGTGCTGTTAAGAGCTCATAATGAAATGTGAGCCCAGCTACTCGCTGATTTTGGACGAAAACACAAAGATTGGAAACCTTTGAGTTGCATTTTAAAAGCCTGTTATATTGTCCACTGTATTAAATCTTCATCTTTAAAAAGCTGTCAAATAAATGAAGTGGGGCAGAAAGTAGAATATTTTCCCCTAAAATGAAGCAAAGTGGAAGGAGAAAGTTGCAGAAAAGTAGTAGTTCCTCAAAAATTTACCTTTAGCTGGTACAGTACTTGAGTTATTGGCTACTTTCCATCACTGAGGATTTGTAATATTTTTGCGAAATTGTTTCTTTTTTTTTTACAATTAAAAATCCTGCTCTCACATCATTTTCAAGTGCGAAGAGATGAAATGTGAAAAACATGATTCCATTTTAATTTAAATGTCAAAATATACTATATTTAGAACAAATACATCAATTAAATGCATCTACATTCAGGAGGTCAGGACTTCAACATTATTAGATATTGGTGTTCCTGCTGCTTTATGAGGCATTACATACAAATTTCTTACTTCAAAACTAGACTTTAGAGAGACTACAGAGTTGAAATATTAATTTCACGAATATTTATTTTATATATTAATGAGAATAGATGCTGTAACAAGTGGGACTGTGGCAAATCTTGTGGTTTTATTTGTGCATTCACAGTAAATTTTAAAGTGCAAAAGAGTGAGATATGATAGCATGAGAATCTTTAAATGTTGGATAACAATTAGCTTCAGCATTTTAAAATGAAATCATCATCATATTTGAATGTCTTTGTAGTTGTTCTTGTGCACAACGTGGTTTCAGTGGTGTCTCCCTGTTGTTTTTTTGTAATGAGAGCTCCACAGAGATGCGTTTTATTGACCTTGAGCTCATTTAACAGCAGCAGACGTGATGCCATGTGTTTGTCTCGGGCCTGCAGATGTTCCCCACAGCTACCACCACTACTACTCCAACCCCAGCTACCACACGCTGAGCCAGAACAGGCCTCCGCTGCCCCACCTCCCCAACAACCACGACCGCACCATTAAGGTGAGTGTCGTCTGATGTGACATGCTGATGTGTTTCATCCAGGCAACAACAGCTGGCTATTTGTTCAGGGCTGTGAAATCAGACGATAAGTGTAGAAACAGTTTTAGGTGCTTCATTTGGCATTTGTTTTTTCCCCCCACCTTCCTATCGTACAGAACACCAACAACCAGCTGTTCTGCAGCGTGAAGAACGCAGAGCGGGAGCGTCGAGGTCTGTTTGGAGTGGAGACGAACGCCACTCTGCCTGCAGACTGGAAACATCACGAGCCCCGCAAAGACTCAGGTAGATTCTCTGGACTGTACTTCTGATCCATGCAGAGGAAACTCATGCAGCTGTGGAGTGAAATGAGATGAGTGAATTAATGTTTACAAGCTAATAAAAGCAAAGAGTTGATTTCCTGACCACAGCGGCGTTTAAGTGATCAGTAAAACTTGCTGCTAATGGAACCGTCTGCTAACACACTTCACTTTCTTAGTTTGAGAATTACACTATAATAATCTGAAAGAAAATCAGTAAATACCGACACGGAATACCAGCTTTCATCATCTTCAGGGTGTATTAATAATAACATTCAAAGCCAAACATTCTTAGTGGTGCAAATGTGGAGAAATTCAGGTCATTTTGAGTAAAAAAACCCTAAATTGTCTCTTTCATGAATTCTTCACCAAAGTTTATCGAGCATTTACTCGTCAGCAGTGCACCTTTGATATGAGACCATAAACACAACGAGGACTACATAAAAAGTCGTAGTTGTGTTGCCAACAACTATCACTCACCTGGTGTTGATTTTGCACGTTTCCAAAGCAACTTATCTGCTTCTGATTAGCTCGCCCCGAGTGAAAATAAAGATTTGTCTTTTATTGTTTACAGGAGCGTTTGGCATCGACAGGAGCTACAGCTACAGCGCCAGCCTTGGAAAATATTACAACAATGGTAGTTCATCGCCTTGCATCTTTCCATTTTCATGCTCTGCTGTTGAAGAGCAGGAATGTTAAATTATTATTGCACGAGGTGTAGCTGCATACATGTTCAAAAAGTAAGATTTTAGGTTTTGTGATACATCTGCAAGCTGATACCAAGTATTAATTTAAACCCAAACAGCTATATCTGCAGTTCTGTTAGCCAACATGTTTATGTGCTGCACATCTGTTTACCTGGGACTCAAAACTGGCTTCTTATCTGGGGACCCAGTTATATGACGAAAAGTTAAACATAGCTGCTCTTATAAACATCCATCCATTATCTATACACCACTTAATCCTCAATCGGGTCGCGGGGGGGCTGGAG